CCTCGACTAAAGAAACCTACCCACCTGAACATTACGCGAGTGCTGGTCCAAGAAGCGACAGACTCGCCAAAAATCACATTCACAATAGGCAAATTAGAATGAAAGACATAAAATCAGAAATTCCTTTCTATATAAATAGGTGTTTTGATAACCGTAAATAATTTTAATATTCTACAGAAAATGAATGAATCAGAACCTAAGGAACACCGAATTTTAATTAACGACCATATTTCGGAAGAAACAACTTGAAATATCGCAAGTCGATCTTCAAAATTCACACAATAGAAAAAAAATAGAATATGTTGTTTGTTCACCAAACAAGAAGTATGTTGCATCTGCGAGTTTAGAAGATAGTTCGGTTCGCATGTGGACAATCACGGAAGATGTAAAAACCACGGAAGAAAATCCAAAACCTGAATTAAAGTAGGTTTGTTTATTTGAACTTAAAGACATAGATTTGAAGAAACCAATAAGGATCTCGAATTCCATGAATCTTCTTATAAGAAGTTGCATTAAACATTCGTTATCTCTCGGTAAGCATGGAGTTGATTTTAAAGTTGTAATTGCATTTTTTTTAATATCGCGTCCAATTATTCGATAGAAATCAGAGATATAATAAACAAGAATAAGATAACTATTTCATGCTCCTTTTTTTAATAGAGAAGGATATTAATTAAGCTTTTCCTTTTTTGATTCTGATTTAAATTGTTGTTTTCTTTTCATACTTTCTCACTCTTATTTACAGTATATTACTATTACTATCACTAACTAATGTGCTATAAGACTATGAAAATATAACTCATCTAAACTTTTTATTATGTCATCAGACTATTTACTAGAACATTTCTGTTGCTCCGATTAGGCGCGTTACGCGAACGTCGTGTCACCGGGCCTTATCCAAGCATTTTTCCCGCTAACAATAGAAATTGAACTTTGGATAGATAATAGTCATAATTTAAATAACAATTTCGATTTATCGAGAGTCAACGTATGAGGATATCGTGCGAGTCTATTTACTTCACAAAGAAGTACGTAGTTAATATACTTACCGGGGAGTAAAGACAAAAGAAAACGGTAAGTCTCTTAATTTATTTTTTACATAACTGGTATAACGGGCAAATGACGAGTATGTCGTTAATTCCATAAGAGATTCGCATAATCGTTACGGGTGCTTAAGGATAGAAGGTGCATGTAAGTGTTATTTGACCGAGGCATTTATTAGCTTCAATTCTCCCAAACTTTTATACATGATTTTCGTATTGCCCTTCTATTGCGCCGCTCTGATAGACCTGGTGCCGGTATGCAAGAATGATACCCCCTTTTTTACGCCTTACACTAGGTCACGCAAGTCATTGTGCGCGTTATAGGTTCATATTCTTCGGTCAGAGTTTATTTAGTAATCACATACTGTAGTTACTGTAGATATTTAAATGAGTATTGACGTAGCGACAAAGTTTTAACATACATGTATGTACGGTAATAGGAGGAATAAATTTTATTTAAAAGATCATTTAATTAATAAATGCTAAAGTATAATTTTCTTAAAATTAATTTTCATCATCATCATCACTCTTCTTTCTTCTTCCTCTCATCTTTCTCACAATCCACCTTCCTCACCTTTGTTTTTCGTTTGACTAATTTGATTAGCTTATCAAACTTTTCACCAAATTTTTATTCTATTTACAAATATTTTCATATAACCCCTTCTAACTTTTTTTTCCGTTCAATAACTTTTCTAACAGCATTAGACACGCGTGGCTGTGATATTTCTTCATTTTCATCATCTTCTAGCATCTTAACATATTTTGCAAGTTCTTCGACGGATATCTCGTAATATCTGAAAAAAAAAATTTCGTGTTACAGTATAAATCGATGCAATTAATATTCAAAGCAAAAGTGCTTAATAAATATATATGAATAATTACAAAATCTCTGGGAACCAATTTTTGTTTCTTCTTTGGTGGGCAAACATCATATAAAGTTCAATCTCCGCTAAAATCTATGAGTAATAATTAATATAGCTATCCTAATAATTGTTAAATAAAATATATACTGTATATATATACGTACCTCTCCCCTTAGGTGTAAAAGCGACTCTTCATTATTTGTATCATTGATTGCGGTGTTAAGCAAACCAATTAATAAATTCATTAAATAAATCGCCGTAAAAAATGAGAACAAAACCAATATAAACGCCAATGTGTGATTATCTTTCAAACTCCATGGCGAGACTGAACTTCTGTCTCCTAATAATGTGTAAAAATTAGTACTGTAATTTACATATATTTAATATTATAATATATGTTTTATATCCTATAATACCTGTCAACATGAAATAAACGGCTAATAAGCCAGTACCAAAAACTGAAAATAAGTTTGTGCTGTCACTTGGAGTTGCAATAAGAGATGAATTTCCAATAACGCCATCGGAGGAAATTGATTGATATCTTGAAGCAAGATTCCAAGGATTATTATCATCGCCGCTGTAATTTGGCTCATTGACATTAAAATCGGTGGTCGGTCTTAATAGGATGTGTAAACAATGGGAAAATGCTATTACAATGATACCCAAAATTACAATAAAGTAGGAAATTTTTTTCATTACTCCGACTATAATTGCAAAATATGTTCCGAAATTATCAAGGGCACGGAAAAAAGTTAAGAATTTGAGTTCGACTACAAGTGTTGATATAGCGATAACCGATAATGACGGGTTTTTATTAAGCAGCCACATAAATGAAGTTATTGTTGGAAATAATAAAGCGGTGAGGTCTGCAAATAAATTAAGTTAGACTTATAACATCATAAATATTGGTGATGCATTAAAATACGAAATTATACGAACCAAACCAGTTCCAATGACTTGCAATATAACTTCTTGTGTCGTGGATAAATTGTCGAAATTCATAAGTAAACTGAATAAATCCAAGAATAATTGTTGTCCACAAAAGTGCGTCCTTATTTATCTGTGACAAATTATTTTGTGGAAGTGTTGCTACTATGGAAAAACATAGTAAAAATGTCGTGTATTGTGCCCACATGAAATAATGATAATATCTCCCATACGTGTTCCACTTAAAATTGACGAGAGCTTTAACGTTCGGCCATTTATAATATTCTGGAGAATTTAATGAGGTAAAGATATTGTCGGGTGGACTAAATAGCTCTTTACAACTGGAATAGTTTTTTTCAGGGTAGGTAGCAAAATTTAATAAAGGTATCATTAGCTTGACGGTTTTTTTGGGAAATAAGGTAGTTTCTTTTATAAAAAGTTTGAAAATATAGAAAATACAGAGATATAAAAAATAAAGGGGAGTGATTTTTTTAATTAATCGATATAGTCGATTGAAACATGAATCGTTAAATGAAAATGGAAAAGTTGTGTAAGGGTCGGTGTAAATTGAGGTAGACGATTTATCTACAAGACGTTTATGATAATCAGGAATTAAGAATGCGGTGGAAGATAAAAAACTTTCTGTAAATCTGTCGAGTGATTCTAGTCCTAGAAGATTAGAAGTAATTATACCTAATAAGTTGGTAGAATTAGAAACAATATTGCCCCTCTGAAACTGATTTAAACTATGATTAATAATTAAGTCAAAGACTTGTTTGCTTTTTTTAGAATTTTTTTCTTGAATTAATTTTTGGAACAACTCTCTTCCATATAATTCCAGAAATAGGGTATCTCTTGTATATCTTTTCAAGAAATCTGAATGCGTGATATCTAAACTACCTTCTCGATACAAAGGTTTTTTTCGATGCCTTAGTATTTCGTCGAAGTACGGAGGAGGTAACGAGTTTTTATAATCTTCGGATTCTAATTTTTTCTTTAGTAAAATAAGTTGTTTAACCATAGCCTCTTTCGGCTCATCCAATCTGTAATGCATTGTCAAATCCCCCCAATAATAAAGTAGGTAAACGGAATTGGCTTTTACTGTCCATATTTGTACTCCAAAGGAGGCGACCAACATCAAATCTTCGTTTTCAAGTAGTAGAAACTCTACTTTGATTTCATTTTCTTTTTTTACGCGTAAATATGCTTCTACTTTTCCTATTTCCACATTTGTCGCAGTCCATCTAGCTGTTATTCCAGCTACTAATATATTGTCATGAGACGCGTTTTGAACAGTCCAGGTATATCGCTTACCGTCTAACGGCTCCGGTAATACCGAATCCTGGCCTAACGATCGATGGAATGACGATTGTTTGGCTAACATCTGTTTTGATCTATAATTTTCTAAAATATCATCTATACGTTTTTTTATATATTCTCGTTGTGAACCGACCCCATTTTCATCACGAGAGTCCTCTTTCCACTTCTCTTCTCCAAAAGAATTTAAGTCGTCTTGATATTTTCTAATCTTGTTGTTAAAGGACTGATCATTATGATATCGTAGAATAAAATTAATTTCAGCCAATAAGGGTAATTCCCCAGAGTTTTTCAATGTTGACGGAGAATTCGGCAAGGAATGCAGGTTGAGCGAAGATGATGATGTAGGTGGAGTAATTGCATAAGATTTTTTCTCCTGTCCAAAATAGATAAAGAGAAATTCCTCTTTTTCGAATTTAATAAAACGTATCCTGCTAATTGATTTTTTATCAAACTTTTTACCAGATTTTTGAATCTTTTTTATAATCTTTTTTTTTTCGTAGAACTTTTCTTCAAACGATTCTATTAAATTACAGTAATTTATAGGTTAGTAATAGAATTGAATAATTTTTCTTGTGCATAAATAGTACTTACGATTTCCTATTATTGTACCAGATTGAGTTGAATAAAAATAGACTCTTGAATTTTCTTCCTGCTTTGTATTCGAATCTCCTTCCTGCTTTTTATTCGAATCTCCTTCCTGCTTTGCATCTGAATCTCCTTCCTGCTTTGCATCCGAATCTCCTTCCTGCTTTGTATCCGAGTCTCCTTCCTGCTTTGTATTTAAACGTCCAGCTACTGCAAGTATTTGTTGGTCATTGCTTAGTTCCATTAGAATACCTTTTCGATACTCGGCCAAACTCCAATCCAATTCGTATTGTTTCTCAAACTTTCGTGTTATCAGATTCCATTGCATGATTACAAAAGGCAATTCTATGAGAATCAACACTCTATCCTGAGAAATAGCGGCATTTTTAAATTTAACAAGTTTAACGTTTCTCGTGCCGTGCCACTGCCCTCCAACTTTAGAAAAGATGTGAACCTGATAAGGATCCCTTTCAACAACTGCAAATCTTCCATTTGTAAGAAACCCACAAGTTACTAAGGCATTTTCGTGATCTTTACCATCTAATAATTTTTCTACAATTTTATCACTCATACGATCTCTAATTTCTATTGAAATAATTATATGCGTCATTAAAAAAAGACATAATTACAACTTTAGAAAGAATGCCAAACTTACCATATATGTAAGAACCCTTATAAAAGTTTCCTGTAAGAATTTTGCCGAAATCTGAGACGCAAATTGGAGCACCTAAAACCGTATCACCAAGGTCAAAGGAATGATATAATTCTAATTTGAGTTCTCCATTTTTTTCTTGGTTAAATTTCCACATGCAAACCGAACGATGTTCAAAACTCGCAGTTGCAACATAGCCCATCTTCGGTGAGAAAACAACTTTGTCTATTTTCTTTCCATTGTGTGGATTATTATTGGATTCGACGTGTAAAGTTTCTTGATCATTGGAAATTTCGTCATAAATCGGAATCTTGCATTCGTCAGAAGTTGGTTGGCTCATTTTCTATAGAATGCTAATTGATGTATATTTTCGATACGCTTTATTTATAAAGAAATTAATCAAATTCATGATTCGACCCGATCCAACTTACATATGCACTTATGTAAGGCCAAAGTGCATACGTAGCGTTATCAATATGCGTACGCCAAAAGTTTGTATATAGGCAAATTTCTTTGAAGGAAACAAAAATGTTAATATTATTATCGATTCAATAATCTAAACAGGTTTTCTGTGAACTCAAGGACAGATACTACTTAGTAAACAAGGTTACACTTTAATGCAAAAATGAATGTGCGAACGTCTGTTTGCCACAATAACAACGAAAAGAAAGCCATCAACTTGTTGTCAATAAGGTTGAATAACTTAATTTAATTTAATTAATTCCTATTTCTATTGGAACTTTCCTTTACAGGCACTTGCGAAGGTCGGAGGTTGTCCCGTCATGCATTATTGTTGCACTGCTTTGTTTTCAACTCAATAAATTGCATTCAAAATCAATAGATCCCTATTGTTATTAGAAATTTCCTTAAGGGCATTTGTGAATCATAACCGTTGTGCAGTTTTGTTTTCAGTTAAAAAATCAATACATTCCTATATTCTATTGTCACTTTCCTTATACAGTAGGTGAACAATTATTTTGCCACTCGCTAATAAGTCTTAAGATCACCGCTGCGCATAAGTTTGCCAAATACATTGCGTACGTATAATAATTGTATAATAACTGTATGTCGATCAGAAATGGTCAACAGAATGAAATACAATTACTTCCTTTTAGAGAAATCATAGAAACCCACGAGACAAATTTATTGAGATGTCTTTAATCTGACCAGGGACCATCAATATTACAATCTTTATTTAATTTATGAATTAAATCAAATGATCACATATTTTCAAATTTTATGAAATGATTCAAATGATTTTATAATCTATTTTGTGTCACGAAACTAATCGCTAATACAAGTAATATTTTTTAACAGAATAACAATCATGTGATTTTTAGCCGCATAAATAGAAAGGGCTCAATACAGTACATGGAATGAATATAAATCCGTCCACCTTGTATCGTTTACATTGTATTATCCTAAGGTACATCCTCCACCTGTCATTCTATAAGAAAAATGTATAAAGAGAGTAAAAAAGGATCGATAAGAAGTAACAAACTCGGTTAAATCAAATTTTCCCTTTTGATTAATACTAACACCCACCGTAACGATGACGTGAAATTTGATATTGCTAACAATCAACTCGCCGATTACCTACAATGTAGAGAGAATGTGATCAATCAAGATTTACAAGAGATTTTAAATGACCGTTGTGAAGGTGATAGAATATATTTAAAAAAGAATGGAAAGATATTTTGTTGACGATAATAATCCATCAAGTGCATTTTGCACTCATTTTTTTGCATTGTGTATTTTTTACTATCATTATATTGATGTTTGTCTCAACAATTGTTTCTTTTATATTTCCTTGTCGATATATGTTATTTGATGAATATGAACTTTATAATTTACTATATATTGTTACAGGTAAATGCGACACAGGTGTGTGAAACTATAACACGTTACGTCAGTCTGTTGTCGCAGAACAGTGGGAAAATTTAGAGGTGGAAATTTCTAGAACAAGGTGGAAATAGCGAAGAATGTAAACATGTAAACAATAGACGCATATACTGTATATGCGCAGTTCAGTAGCATTTAGAGGTTAGTGAATATTAATTATAAAAAATAAAGTAAGGTTTAGAGATAACTCTTACCTTGTGTTCAGTGTGCCAAAGAAGACTTGTAACTTGGGCTACGTGACTAAAAGAGAGAACCGAGGTTTTGACTATGAGTATCGGCATTGAAAGGGTTCTAAGTTAGTCGGTAGGGATTTTAAAGTGAAGACCGACCAAATCAAGGACACGCATCAAGAGTTAAAGGAGAAACCTACGTACCTTGTTGTTGATTAGCCGACTGAACGTAGCGTGAAAAGCATCGTGGATTGGCGATAGACCTGCCAATTGCGCCTACAACAATATGGACTTAATAAATCGAATAGAGTTTATTCGGTTTCAATATTATTATAGATTCGAATTCCATGGGTCTAGCACACAAGAAAAATAATGTGTACAGATGTCAGGGGTGAGTATTATTGACAATTCAATTTTATGTTTTAATATTTATATACTAATATATGAATATTGTTCGAGAAAAAGGTAAGTTGTGTCACTCGGAAAAACTTTGATTTTTTAGAAGAAATACATGTGAGCTTTTGATGTTGGGATTGTAAGATGCGATGAACAACAAAATTATGAATGTTTTTTACTTAGTCGCAGGTGTGATATTATGTTTAAAAATGTTATAAGATTCTTGTTTAACAAATCTTGCCTAAACTGTAATTTGTAATTAATGATGGGTTGGGGAATTTTAAATTGAAACTAAAGTTTGTATACTGTATATTAAAATACATATGTTATATAGGCAAAGGAAGTCACGATATTCTTGCAATTCCACTGATCCAGTAATAACAATAATAATTAGAATTTCTCAGGTAATAAGAATAGTTTTCCACAGAACAAATATGTATACAAAGGTCTTGTTTATAACATATAAAGAGAACTTCTAAAACATAACTTTTGTATAATAATTAATTTAAGTAGTTGTAAATATTTGATAAATGTATATATACATATTAATGTTTTAGAAATTTATTTAAATGTATTAAAAAATCGAATCAAATTTTTCTATACATCAAACATTAAAATTATATATCAAATTATAGAAATGTTTGGCTTCTAAAAATAATATTAATTAATTATAATTAATTAAATACTCTTCTTGCTTACAACTTAATCAGAGGTCCTATTCCTATGCAATAGTGAGCATTTAACTCTTTATATTCTTAAGCTTATGGCATGTTCTTAAAATAAAGAGAGGAAAATGTTTTTAAAGAAAATTTTCAAAAAATTAATGGTAAGTGAATAAGAGTTTTTTTATTTGTTTTAGCAAAGGTTATTTAATATTTATAATATAAAAATTATTAATAAATTCAAAAGGTTGTTATAGAAATTAATATTTATAGCTAGATTTAATACAAATTAATATTGAAATAAATTGTTAAAAAATAATATATTAACCTATTTTATTTCAAGACTTGGTAATTTTGAAAAATTTAAATCCAATATATTTTTAAATAATGTAAATTTTTAACTAAATCTTTTTTAACTATAAACTCAAAAATAAGATCTATTAAATAACATTTCACAAGTTTTGAACTATTTTTTTTAACTAATTTAATAATAAAATTTGTTAATAGGTATTAAAATCAAATGTAAGAATTGTAGGTTATAAATTATTGATTGATTTAATATTAAATATATAAAAATTATATTTGAAAAATTAATAGATTTGTATTAATTATTAAATTAATTTTTTTAAAATATTTTAAGTATATCTGATTAAAAAATTATTTTTAATTTGAATTTAATTTTAAAAAATAAAATTTTATTATAAATAATTAATTATATAATTTATTATATTTGAATTTGAATATTTGTACTTTAACTTTAATGTTTTCAATAATTTTGTCTTGATTAATATTAGAATATTTGTATTAAAATACTGAAATTTTTAATTTTTTATAATTTTTTTAAAAAATTCAATTATATTTAAAACTTCTAATGATGTTATTTTAATATTACTTTAATATCAATTTGATACTTAAATTTACTATAAATTTATTTGAGTAAATTATAATTTATGTATTAAATTTACTATAAATTTATTTGAGTAAATTATAATTTATGTATTAAATTTACTATAAATTAATACTATTTTAATATTATTATTTTATAAAATTCCATTTGTCAATATAAATATTATTTCTGGTTTTTACTATTTAACTTATTTTTTATTTAAAAATATAATTAAAAATATAATAGTAACACTAATAGCATTTTAACATATTAACTTTTGATTAAATATCTCTAGAATTAATTAATAGTTAATAGCAATAGGCTAATATAAATAATAATCTACGTGCAGTCTTATAAAAGTGTGATTTTCTACTATTTTCCCTTTTGTGAAACAAATATAGCTTTAACCAACATATCAAACTTAGTTTCACTTATCTTAAACCTCAATATTTGCACGTTTTATATTATCATTTTACTTGGAATTTTTATGACAGTTGCAGATCCCAAAATCTCTAAAATCCAGGAAATCATTTGGATTCAAAGAATAATTATTATAATAGAAATAGGGATAATATTAAGAATAATTTTCTGTATTCAAACATATACAGTATACAAGATCTTCATAAAATTATTAAATAAAATTGGGCTTCTACAATAGAAAACATGAAAGTTATGAGTAGTAGTTTCATGATTGAATGCTAATTTGCAATAACGTTGTAATTAAAGTATAGGATAAGCTTTAGCCTTCAAGATCCTAATCTAAAAATCAGAAAAGCATATAGTCACTCACATTTTTTTTCATAAATGTACCCATTCATTGTTTTGAAATTGTCTCACCTTCTATAGTATCCGCTCGAAGCCAGATACTAGATTAATTATTTCTCAATATCTTAACACTAAGATCAGCTTTACTATTGTTGAACATATCGGCAAGATCAGAACCGAAATTAAAAGCAATCTTACAGCAAAAATAAAATTTACGTGACGCTAACTATGCAATGGAGAAATTAACTGTTTTTCGAAGTCTTCCTTATTTTTGTGAAATTATTTTATATGTCGCTCGTGCTGTTTACCTTGTACTTCTATGGTGTATTCACAGTATGGATAGTAGATATCAAGCTCTAGTCCTCGAGGATATTCTGGTGTTTTCAATGATGTGGAAGATGGACCAAGAATATTATTTATGACTTCGCGACACAGATTTTCATGCTTATTTAAAAAATATGGACACTAATATTTAATATGTATCTATATTATTATATTTTTTGCTTTCATTTTAGACAGCGGACGGAAAATATAGACATCCGTTCTTGTGGTAAGTACCGTAATAACACTTATATGCGTAACAAAGCAGGTTTTGCTTTTTGTTTTTTTTTATATTAGAATCCAAATTTTCTTATATCAAAAGTCGTAGTGATTACTGTAGTATAATTTTTTTCAGTCTTGCTAAAAAAATCAATGATTTTCAGCAAATAAGTCAACCAATGAGTCATAGTCATAGACCTAAACTTACAGTAAATCAAGAAAAATGGACGAGAAAGCCGATAATAGAATTCGTAGAACCTTTCAGGTATTTTAATCTTGCACTATTCGAAATGGTAGGTATAGCTAGCGAAGCATTTTTATGTAGGAATCCAAGACAGGGGAACCCAATATATACTCCGTTTTATGTCAAGGTGAAGATGGTAAAACCACCCCATTGTCGACCAATTCCAATAATAACTATATAGGACGCGGTAGCCCTTCTTTGGACAATTTACATGATAGAACCCAACGTGTTGACTCGCCAAACAACAGTAAATGTAACGGTATCAGCGAAAATGGGGAAGATCAAATTTATGTACGGGACATCAGTTCGTAGCAGACTTCCAACGCAAACAACAACAGGAAAGACGTTGTACAAAAAAAACCGATTAATAGCAATGACGAGAGTGGAAAATATCCCGATATTACAATGATACCAATCGAATGTTGTCCTAACAAGGAAAGAACCCAAAATTTGCAATTATCTTTGGGGGAACTGCGCCGAATCGGTGTCTTGGCGGGTCATGCATGGACGGAAGAAAAGCCGAAGACACCGTGCCGTCTTGTGGTCCCATACGTTCAATATAGACAAAAAGTAATTTCAGAAACCATGTCCAATGTGTCGATGGAGGAAAAAAAGGATGAATCTCGAGAAGGTGACAATAATCCGAAAAATTCGTTCATAATAGTCAAAATGGTTGCAAATAAATCAGATCGTAAGCGTGTTGCAGAATCTCTTGACTGTTATATCGAAAATAGAAATCCTACTACTTATAAATGTTATTTGGAAGTTGTTAAAATGTATGGTTTCGATCATATCATTCTCATCGGGGATTGTTATGAAGGAATTCTTTTTCTAGACTGCTACGGCCACGTGTTTGAATGGGGAAGCATGTTGGGTGTTTTGTGGTCGCTTGGAGATTATTGGGGTGTAGTGTCAAAGGAATATCTGGCTAGATGTGTAATATGGGGTGTAGAGTTTGATGGAACTGTTACAGAATTCGAGGACGATAAGAATGGTATGTCAAGATGTTATTTTATTCCTTTTTTTTGCCCTAAATTTTATAATTACAGTAGTTTCCTTTATCCCAGATTCACTAACCATTGACAAACATGATATAAGAACGAGTGATGTTCACCCTGTCGCAAAGAAGAAAAAGAATTCGAAAAAAAATAACTTAAAAAAGAAACATTGATCTGTTTCTGTATGAGTTCTAAGTGTGGTGTCATTTCCAATTTAAATTTGATTTATAGTTTAAATACTTGCATAAATAAATAATAGTGATTATAAAAACACGTGGCATAAATCAAATTTACTTTGTATTTTGTGTAATCTGTAGGTATAAATAATAAAGATTGATTACATGACATTAATGCCTCATATCTTAATCGAAAAACCCATTTCTACAGTATTATGTAATTCAAGTTATTTCAATAAGATCTGAATAAAAATCATATGATCGAGAACCTTTTTTCTGTTTCTCTGAGCAGACTCGCGCATAACGTATCTTTTTTTTTATATCTATCCTTTCTTGACTCCCAATTCTTGAGTGCCCCGCCTTCTCAATGTTTCGGATAAAATCTCATGTTTTTGAATCCCTGCACTTCTCGCCATTTTAACATTGTCTTGCTCAAACATACGAAATTAGACTTTTGAATTATTACAATGATGTTATGATGATAATTCAACATTAATAATCAAATAGTATTATTTTACTAATTGTGTTACAGGACAGTGTACTGCACCATGTGACTAATATATTCTTGTCCATCAGTATTTCTTATATATGCTTCTATTTGTTGGAGTTGAGAAGAGTCCACACGATTATCATATCGATAAGGCAAGTGATTTAATTGTTTTTAGGCATGTCCAATTTGGCTGAGTAAAAAGATAACCCATTGCCTTTATTTACTTTTACTTGATTCTCTTTTATACATTTTAGTAGGGACCACTTTGGATTCAAAAATATGGTGACATTAACTTATAATTCAATTATGTTATTGAGAGAATGTATCTTTCATAAATGATTAGAATACCTAGATATCTATTCAATACTTTTTACTTGAAATCTTGATTAAGATATTGTACTTATTGTCAACATCTGTGGTTTTAAATTATATGATTTGATTTTCTTTTAAGCAAACATCAGATTGAGATAGCTTCAAGCTAAGGTATTTTTTATACTTGAAACCAGTTATACCAGTTTAGGTTATAAATTTCTGTATAAGTTAAATTAGAAGCCTATTCTTGTGTAATTCTTTTTACTTTAACTTGTTTTCAATTTTCAATTGTTAATAAAACAAGATCTATTTTCATGTAGCCTAATTTGATCAAGATCAACTATTTAAATATAATATATTTAGAAAAACCAGTTAACTTATAAATTAAAGATATATAAATATAATAATATTTTTTTTCTTTAATGAAACTATATACAATGTGTTTATTAATTGTATATAGAAATAATAGCACTATATACAATATAATAGAAAATATACTAACATAAACTATTTTCAAGTAACAAAATATTAATAAAATTTTAAAATAATATTAAAATAATATAAATTTATAATAAATTTAATGTATAAGTTATAATTTATTCTATTAAACTTATAATAAATCAATATTAATTTAATACTAAAATAGTATTAGAAATCTTAAATACTTATTAATAAATTATTTATAAATTTATATATAATTCTGAACTTTAATATTCATATTATTATATTATTTATAATTTAACTATTTACTAATTATCTTATTATAAAAAAATAATTTTGTTAAGCTATTATTATATAATATTAATTACTTTAAATTTTCTAAATTCTAATTTTCTGAATATAATTATTAGAAATTATAAAGTTGTTTTTTTTCAAAACTAAATATTAAAACCTTAATTTTAAAAAATTAAAATTATTTTATATTTAACACTAGTCCAAATTAAATTATTCAGCTGCCAAATTACAGTCAATTAAATCCAAATTTATTAATAAAAGTTTATATTGAAGTTTTGTTATTTGGTCCAATTTATGCTATTCGACACTTAAAAAAAATCCAATAATTTAGCAATAAAAAATATATAACATTTGGCAATAAAATCATTTGATAATAAAATCATTTGACAATAAAATTATTGGCAATAAAATTATTTGGCAAAAAAATCATTTGGCAATAAAATCATTTGGCAAAAAAATCATTTGATAAAAAAATATTTCTAGTTAAAAAATATTCAACAATAAAGTTACAACATTCTATAATAAAAATTATTCCTTAAATTTATTAAAAAAAAACTCTTCCCGTCAATCAATTTTTTACTTGAAAATTTTCTTATTTGGTAATAGTCTTCCAAGAAACACTTGTTCTCTCAGCACTCCCAAGTGCACTCAACCACTAACTAACTCCCAACATGGAGCATCCCACAACAAACAGCAACAAAAAACAATTCCTACATGCTACTATCCATCAGG